TATAAGCTGCAGGAACACAAAGCTTTGTACTTGGAGGTTGTAAACTCCTCCAGTAAAGGTTTTTCTGCCTCAGAATGATTTCTCCTCACTAACCACCGAATTCTCTGACTTTTTTTCCTTCTCACAACCAGCCAGCCCAGGAGTAGGTCAAACCAAGGAGAATGAACAGTACAGTGAGGCAAGTGTTACTGATTCAGAGCGAGGTAACACTCTTGTACAGGAATTGCAAACTTAGGACCCACGGGTCAGCACCCAGAATATGCTTCTTGCCTGCTCGGGACAGCCTCTACCCTGTCAATTACTTATTTAATATCTCTGCTTTTCAATTGTAGATCATTGGGGGGATTGCATTACCTTTAACTTGAGAGTAGCTCTTAATACTTTCAGAAAAAAGAAGACTTCAGAGAGACCTAGGAGATATTGTATAGTAAGAAAATGCCCTACCTAAGGGACGGCTCTACCTATTTTTAGCAGCCTAAATGATTACCAGTGCTGTGCTAGTAAGTCCAGGCCAAAGAATTCAGACCCACTTCTCCCAGAGCTGCACCATATGAAAGCTCCTAACGCAGGCTTAGTATCTAAGAGCATCCTGTTCTGTAGCGTTCCAGACAGGCGTGTGATTCTTTCTCTGTGGTTGGCATAGTCACTTCCCGTTTGTTTCCTGCTGGCCCACACTGAAGGAAAAGCCAGGGACTGAACTGGAGCGTTGGATGTAGTCTGCGTCTTGCCAGCGGAAGTGGATTGTTTAGTCTGGGTTCAAGCACAGGACTAGGCAGTTTCAAGTTTGGAATCAGAGTGGCGTGCAGGAGACTCATGAACAACGGGCTTGATCCTGGAAGAACATTGTGCAGCTGCATACATGGTGAGGCAGAGAAGCCTTCAGGCGGAATTAGAGAGCCAGGGAGGGCAGGTCAGCCAGGGCCAGCTGTGGGGGCGGGGCTGCGGAGTGCATCACCTTTGGCATTTTAGTGTGATATTTTCAGAAGTGGCAAATTCAGGCCTCCCTCTGGCGAAGCAAATGCTTGTCCAGTGGTACGGTTAAGTTTTCTCTTATTAGAAGTATCCGTGATTTATAAAAACCTTTAGTTTTAAAAGTTGTAGGCTGTTTTAACTATAAAATTCAACGTGGAGTGGATTCTGCCCTCTGCCTTATTCTAAATTAGAGGCTGTGATCCTATCATCATGTTACAATATTCAAATAACCCCTTTCCAATTGCTCCCCAGCCTGTCTTTAAGTTGCACATAATAGCATCCAAACCTTAAGGAATTCTAATTAAAGATAGGTAGATCATCTATGAAATTGAGAGTCTCTTGTGTCAGCTCTTATTTTTGCAATAGAATACAGACCTCTCCCCACGAATCGCCCATCGGTGGGGTTTGAATTGTGACTTACTTCTGTGGGAGAGGTACGTGGGGCCTGCATGGCACCTCACGGTTCAATGAACTGATCAAAGTGGTTTCCCTCTTTTCCTAGATTCCAAAAATATACACTGCAGATTTGGGGTTTGCTCTCGTCCTGTGGCAGATCTGTCTCCCTGGACATCTTCTCTCCTGTTTCCCGAGATTCAAAGATTTTGAGGAAACCCTTTGGAGGAAATCAAAGAAAATATATGGAGGACAAATTTGGTTTGAATTGCTTATTAGCACTAAATATAAACAACCTTTTCTTCAAGGCTAAGAGCCTTCTCAACTCTCTTCTTGGTAAGGTTTTAAAGGAAACCTAATCTTTCATCAAGGTTTCAGAGTACAAGACTAGATATAATTGGAAAGCCCAGAGAGTTCAGGTTTATTCATTTCAGTTATGTGCTGAGGGCCCGTCAATTCAGGTACTGTTCTTGGTGGAGGATACAGCATCTAGAATTGGACACGGAACCTTTACTTTTGAGGAGCTTATGTCTCCATTTTGATCTCTTTCTGAAATTCGGCCAATACCGTACCTCTGGCAAAGTCTTCAGAGTGCTTTCGTGTATAGGCTTTATGCATTAGAGTTTTTAGTTAATGTTTTATTCTTTATTGCTTGTATTTATATGTGAGAAGTAGATTCATATAATATATACAGTTGTAATAGTGGATCATATAGCTAAATGATTTCTGGATCCTGGAAGCCAACACATAATAGGGTTCTTTACAGTTGAACAAACCATTTTCTAAATTCTCACAGCGGCTAAGGCACTGTTCTAAGATACAGGTGACACAGGGATGGATGAGACATGGTCCCTGTTCTAAGGAGTTTGTAATCCTGGTAGGAGAAGCAGGCATTTGCGCAGCCACCTCTAAGGCCAAGTGTGAGTGCTGTAGTATGTGTATGGTGATCTTGATATCTGGCTGTGGTTCCTGTTCCTGCTGTATTGACTTGGGGACTGGGGCTCAGAGGTGCAGATTTGACTTCTTGAAGTTAATCCTGTGTGCAGAAAATGAAGTTGTTTGAATTTCTCCCCATATTGGCATTGAGTTACCCCTTTGACTTACGATAAACTTTCATTATTTCTTACTTGAAATGCCCCAGTCATTTAGACTGATTGCAGTTAACTCCTAGATGCTCCTATGTGAAGGTCCAAGAATTAAAGACAGGGGCGCCTTGCTGGCTCAGTCGGCTAAGTTTCTGACTCTTGACCTCAGCTCAGGTCTTGATCTCAGGGTCATGAGTTCAAGCCCTGCGTTGGGCTCCATGCTGAGCTCCCTATCTGTGGAGCCTACTTTAAAAAAAAAAAAAAAAAAGGGTGCCTGGGTGGCTCAGTTGGTTAAGCGACTGCCTTCAGCTCAGGTCATGATCCTGGAGTCCCGGGATTGAGTCCCACATTGGGATCCCTGCTCGGCCGGGAGTCTGCTTCTCCCTCTGACCCTACCCCCTCTTGTGCTCTCTCTCTCTCACTCTCTTTCTCTCTCAAATAAATAAACAAATAAAATAAAATCTTAAAAAAAAAAGAAAGTGGTTGGGAGTTCAAGAAGGGGTGGCTGTGGAGGGGGAGTGACAGAGAGGGGTAGTTGCAGGGTGAGGACTCTGATGATTCCCTTCAGTGCATTCTTGGATGCCAGATAAAAAATTTAAGCCCGTTATCAGACAGGGCATGTGCTGTTTGTCCACTCATTTTAACCTTCATATGATGTTCCAGTTAATGAATTTCTAATACAGTATTGCATAATGTATTATTGATTCAGTTTGGCTTAATTCAGTGCAGATGCATTATTCTAGCCTTAGGACCTCTGCTTGCTTAAGTTTCTCAGGACGAAGAATGGCTTATGCCAAAATCGGGTAATGAGTAATAGCTTCACTGTGGTTTTTCCTAATTTGCTATTTTAAAATTTCAGTCTCTTAAGTCTCACTGACTGATTATTAACCAGTCTAGGTATTTTAAATATGTGTAAGTAATTAGTCTGCGATGTGAATGATTTGAGTAGTCATTAAAGTGGAATGTCAACTTTTATTTATTGGAAATGTTTCTATTTCTGTTGAGCTCTCCTTCCTTTGTAGGGGAAATATTCTAGTTCTCGTAGCTTTTGTTTAGTTGGCTCGTTGATTCGGTCCCACACAAAAGTGGGTTGTTATCTAAGCCATAGGCGTGAGCTTGAGGGTGGTGCTACTAAAGAGAGGACTTGTCAAGGTCTGGTTAGATCTGGGGCCATGGTCAAACAAGAGAGTCCCATGTGTGCTCCAGCCCCTTGCAGAGACCTAGAACTCTTTTCTAAGGTCACAGACCACAGCCCCTAAACCTGGCCTATCGTGATCCCAGTGTGTTAGCTGTTTCAAAGAGCTCAGACGACTCTGTTCATGCCCTTTACCAGTCCTGAAAACAGGAGAACACTAGATGCTGCTGGTTAGTTAGTACCCAGCCCTTCACAAGGGCACAGCAGGGATGCAGACATTCTCCTCTCTCCCTAGACTGCCATGGAAGTAGCCTTGGACAGACAACCAGGGTTGAAGTCCTGGGATTTGGGAATAAAAAACCCAGGTCCAGTTTTATTGCCTTAACAGTCTTGAGATTTGAGAAGCTTTATTTAACTTTTCTGGATCTGTTTAGTATTTTTTAACAGCCCTATTGAGATACCGTTTATATAATATACAGTTCACCCATTTAAAGAGTACAACTCAGTGGCTTTTTGTATGTGTACAGAATTGTCCATCTATCACCACAGTCAATTTTGGAACAATTTCATTATTCCCAAAAGTAACCCTGTACCTAGCTGTCACTTCCAACTTTCTCCATTCCCTCTAGCCCTAAGCAACCACTAATCTCTTTGTTTCACTCTAGATTTTCCTATATAAATGCAGTCATCCAACATGCAGTCCGTGGTGACTGGCTTCTTTTCATTAGCATAATGTTTTCAAGGTTCATCAATGTTTGGCATATATCAGCACTCAATTCTTTTTCATTACCAAATAATATTCCACTGTATGGCTCTACCACAGCTATCACAGTTAATTTATCGCTTCATCACTTGAGGGACATTTAGGCTGCTTCCACTTTTTGCTGTTATGACTAATGCTACTATGAAAGTTCACATACAAGACTTAGATAGGAAACATGAAGGAACAACAGGTTGCCCCAAAGGGTATCTGCTATCCTAAAATTTGATGTGATGCAAATCTCTAAGGTTTTTTTCTTTAACTTCTGGAAAGTTTTTTCCCTCCAGGAACTATAGCTAGAATCCCTCCCAGGATCAGGCATGGTTCCAGATACATAGCTAATATGGGACTCAATAAATGTGCAGTGGGGAACCTGGGTGGCTTAGTCGGTTAAGTGTCCAACTTTTGATTTCAGCTCAGGTCATGGTCTCAGGGTCCTGGGATTGAACCCCACATCAGGCTCTGTGCTCAGTGTGGAGTCTGCTTGAGATCCTCTCCCTCTGTCCCTCACTCCGCTCACTCTTTCTCCCTCTCTCTCAAATAAATAAATAAATAAATAAAACCTTTTAAAAAATAAACATGCAGTTACACAACTGAACAGAACTTCCTCTTACATTGTCTTCAATGTCTTGTTCGTTCCTCTCCTGATCTACAGGTATTTCTGATGAAGACATTATCAACATTACTCTTCCCACTGGAGTTCCCATTCTCCTGGAACTGGATGAGAACCTGCATGCTGTTGGGCCCCACCAGTTCCTGGGCGACCAAGAAGCTATCCAAGCTGCCATTAAGAAAATAGATGACCAAGGAAAAGTGAAAAAACGAGCTGAAAAATGAAGGCTTTCCCGTTTGCTGGCTAGGAATAGCTGAAAAAAAAAGGGGCATGCAGTGTTTTATGGGTGCTGATCTCTCTCTTTCTTTTTTTGACTGCCTTCAGCTCAGGTCATGATCCTGGAGTCCCGGGATTGAGTCCCACATTGGGATCCCTGCTCGGCCGGGAGTCTGCTTCTCCCTCTGACCCTACCCCCTCTTGTGCTCTCTCTCTCTCACTCTCTTTCTCTCTCAAATAAATAAACAAATAAAATAAAATCTTAAAAAAAAAAGAAAGACAGTGGTTGGGAGTTCAAGAAGGGGTGGCTGTGGAGGGGGAGTGACAGAGAGGGGTAGTTGCAGGGTGAGGACTCTGATGATTCCCTTCAGTGCAT